GTGAGACCCTAGCTTAAATGGAAAAAAAATTCTGCCAAACTAAGAAGGACCTGGCCAATATCACCTGAGTGGACCATATGCACACACACATTTGTGCATGCGTACACATGTGCCCACGGGAACACGCACACGGGAGCGCACACACGCACACTGAAAATGACCTTCTCCACAGGCTTGGAGTCGTGATGTCTCCACGTGGGTTGTACGTTTGGTTTCCGTTGCTGCCCCCGTAGATACAATGAGGGATTCTGCAGGAGCATCTCCTGTGTGCCGTGCCTTGGAAAGAAGAGGTGAGCCACGGCTGTTGGCAGCGTCAGTTGGTGCCCTGACGCCCTTAATGTTCTTCCCAGCACTGGCTCCAGTGTGAGCAGAGATGCTATCCCACCAGCCCTCATTCTCTTGTGTGTTTCGTGGCCCAACACGTGCCCGTTCTTCGGATCTGAGTAGTCAAATTACCTGAGGAAAGAGTCCTAAACAGGGACTCACACAGAGCAGAGAGAACCGAGTCCAAGTGATACTCTAACCTCCACGCTCACTGCCTGTGGGAACACGTCACCCACAAATAAGTAAGCGGACTTAAAATAGTTTAAGACAGGGCACCTTGCGTGTGATGGCAGTGAGAGGCTGGGGCCCGGCCCTGGGGTGTGCCCCTGCCCCGAGGACACACAGGCTGTGTTCACCATCTGCCTCATGGTGGCTTCCGTGTCATGTCTGTTCCTAAAACCTCGTCTCTGTGGGCGAGAACGGTAACCGAGCTCGGGGACTACTGTGAAACTGAGTGATTCCATCCTGTAACTCACAGATGACCGTGATTAAACACAGCCTTACTGTTATTTCACGCTCCACCTGAGCAGAAGCCGAGATGGCTGACTCTCTGAATGGGCCACTCACGCTGAGACAGCTGGCTTCGAGCTGGTACATGCGGGTGGCGTAACTCCAAACCCAGAGTCAGAGGCATGCACGGTGTCCTGTTCTTGTCCTTGGTGGCTTGGTGTTTGTGAGCATGGAAATAATAGTATTTCTGTGGCGGGGCTAGAAGGAGGTTGCTGGCTCGTGTGAGGCGAGCGTAAGGAGCAGAGCTGTGTTGGAGTGCGGTGGGAGGCGAGCTGGACGGGCACTGTCGGTGAGGTGGACGGCTCCCCTTGACAAGAGGCCTTAACCGGCACACCCTGCTCTCCATTAGCCTGGGGCACACTGAGGCTGGTTCCTGAGCCTGCTTCCCCAGGGCCAACAGCAGGACATATTCCTTGTTTTCAAAGAGCATGGATGGTCATTCTCCCTCACACTCGTGTGGCAGAGAGCTGCTCGCTCTGTGAGATTTTCTGCTGCCAGCACCTCACCACCCCAGATCTTCAGGAAAGCTTCAGTATGATGGAATCTCTCCTTGAATGGTGGGATGCTCTCATGGACCCTGGGGTCACAGACCAGAAACAAATTTGGGCTGAGACCCTGACTTTCTGGCTGTCAGTGAAAAGAGCCTAAGAGAACAGTCATTTGTTACAGAAAAGCATCAGGTTCGTGAAAGGTGTGTGTGTCTGTCTGTCTGTCTTTCTCAGTATGTGTTTGTGTGTCTGTCTATCTCTGTCTCTCGCTGTGTGTGTGTATGTGTGTGTGTGGTGTGTGGATGTGTGTCTGGCTCTGACTCTGTCTCTAGGTCTCTCAGTGTGTGTATGTCTGTCTGTCTCTGTCTCTTAGTGTGTGTGTGTCTGTCAG